GAGAGCCTGCGCCAGGGCGAGGAGGAGAATGACGCAGAGGAGACAGTAAGGACGCCTCAAAAATCACGAGGACGACGATGAGAGTTATTTTCAGATTTGCCGAGGGGATTCATATGCAGGGTCCTACCGTCGGAGTAATTGTGGATTTGAGGTTGATCGCCTTTTCGGGTTCCTGACCGCACAAGACGGCGACCGGGGCCCTACATAGTGGCCCCAGACGGCCAAAGAGGCCCCAAAGAGGTTCCCAAGACGGCCCAAGAGGACCCCAAGACGATCAAAGAGGGCGCCAAGACATCCCCAGATTACCCCCATGAAGCCTCACAGAGGTCGCTAAGAAAACTCCAAGAAGGTCCCAACGACGCCCCAAGAGGGGCCCGAGACTTCAAACAGTTCTTCTGACAGCTCCCTCGAGGCCCCGAAGAGGCCGAAGAAGCTCCCAATACGCTCCCAGAGCGCTCCTAGAGTGCTCCTGTAAGAGCTTCAAGATATAACAAACGATTTTCATCAGGTCTTTGAAGGATTGAAGCTTGGTCGCCTTCTCGTCGGATTCTCGGCCGCTCAAGACGGTCACAGGGGCGCTCCACAGTTGCCCCAGACGTGCCAGGAGGCCCACAGGAGGGCCGCAAGGAAGCCCAAGCATCTCCCGAGGCGTCCCAAGAGGCCGGCGGCTCCAGACAGCCCCAAGGAGGCTCCAAGACGTCGCGAAGACGGCCCCCAGAAAGCTCCAACGAGGTCTCCAGAGCGACCAAAGGGGGCGTGCGACCAAGACGGACCAGAGGACCCCCAAGGGAGCCTAGACGGCCAAAGACCATTCAACATGGATCTCAAGACGATCCAATCTTGTTTCCAGGACCAAAAGAGCGAGGAAGGTGAATCATGTGCTTTGCACGCGTGAAAATCCAGTCTCCGAGCCAAGACGGTTCCGCCCAGCCGTCGGGACCGCCGAGCTCGGGGAGACGAGGACGTGATTTAACGCAAGGGTGGCGTGCTAAATCTTGTCCGCGGCCCCGAGCTCGGGCGCTAAGGCCTCGGCACCCTGGCCGCGGACAGACTTTGTTGTGCCGCCCCCGCGTTCGGTCTCGTCCCCCGTGCGGCGGCGAGCGCCGACCCAGAGTTCCTTGGACACGACGCTGCGTGCGAGATGGTTTTTTTTGGATCAGTGGAGTCCCCGACGGCCGCGAGCCGCTCGCGACGGCGCCCCAGACGCTCCAGAGGGCGCCCCGACGCCCCCCAAGTCGGCTCCGAGACGCTCGAGAGACCGCCCCGACGGCCCCAAGACGGCCCCGGCCCGCTCGGGAGGCCGCCCCGACGGTCCCAGAGGCCTCCCAGGCAGGAGGTTCCCAAGACGGCCCTGGAGGACCCCCCAGGCGAGCCCCGAGAGGCATGATTCGCCACATTCCCCGTTTGGAAAACGCGCATTTCGGGCATTGTCGTGCTTCTCGACTCCGACGCGTCCACGACGGCCAGACTAGCTAGCTCCCAAGATCGCCCCAAGATGCCCCCCCGGAGGGCCCCCCAGACGATCGAAGACGGCCCCAGGAGGGTCCAGGAGGCGCCCAACACGACACAGGATGCACACAAGACAGCCCCAAGAGCCGCCCACGACGGCCCACGAGGCGCCCAAGGTAGCCCAAGATGGTCCCAGACGCCCCAAGACGGCTCAACAGGCACGCAAGACGGCCCAAGAGGGCCCAAAGAGGCTCCCAGGAAGCAGAAAAGAAGCCCCAAGAGTCCCCCTAACGGCCCCCAAGAGGCCGTAAGTGGCGTCAAGATTGCCCCCACGAAAGGGGGGCGGACGAGAGGCGAGAGGCATATGACAGGCCCCAAACAGGCCGGCCCCCATGACGCCCTAGGTGGCTTCGAACTTGCCTTCGAGAAACGGGGGCGGCCGAGAGGCGAGACGCAGATCGCATGCCCAGAAGAGCCGCTTTGGACGTTCCGAGGGCCTTGGATGCTCGCCTCCTGGGGAACGTCGCCATAGCGTCCACGATATGGCGATAGGAGGTCGAGCAGATGAAGGATGTAGGGACAGTGGAGGACGAGGGGGACGAGGAGGACAAGGAGGAGGAAGAGGAGGAGGAGGAGGAAGAGGAGGAGGAGGAGGAAGACGAGCAGGGGGAGGATGAATAGGACGAACAGGAGGCCCAAGAACACCCCGAAGAGAGCCAAACCAGACTCTAGACGACTTACGACCCTCGGAGCGTGAAGACCTCAAGAGCAAACGGTGACGCGCCCAAAGCTCTGAACGCCGCGGCTCACAAGCGCTAGCGGTGGCGGAAAAGAGCGCTTATCGCAAGCGACAAGCCAGCAAGCGTCAACAAGCAGCACGGGCAGGAAACCAAATTTGGAAGCTCATCAAGGCCCACCGCTTCTCCATTCTCCGTTCCGGAGCCAGTGGTTCGTCGCATTCACGTGCCGACCCTCAAGGCCACGACGACTGCTCCTCCATGCGCCACGGCGAGGCAGGCGCTGTAGGAGCAGGAGAAGGAAGAGGAGGAACAGAGGGAGGAAGGCGACGTCGCCGGCGACAACGGAGTTGACGACGACAACGACGATGACGACGACGACGATGACGACAACGACGACGACAATGACAGCGACAGCGATGACGACGCGACTGAGCCGACGCCCACGACCACAACGACGACGACGACGACGCCAAGTCAGCGTGCCAGCGCGGATCCCGAGCAGCAGCGTCATGCACTGTGAAGATGGAGCGGGGCGGCCCCGGACAATGTCTGAACACTTGCACCCGGGAGGGCGATGTGTTCAGAACTTGTCTGGGCCCATTTGCTTCATAGACATTGTCTGGCCCTAAGCCACGGGTCAGCCATTGTCTCTACTACATTTCAGGCATACGCGCGTCCGAGAGGGGCGGGGGTCGGGGGGCTCCTCCGACGCCCCGGCCCCGGGCGGCGCGGTTTAAAGACGCCCCGGGCGACTCCGGAAAGGCTCCAGAGGCCCCAAGAGGCCCCCAAAGAGCGCTCCAAGAGGCCGCCTGGACGGCACAAGAGGCCTGCAAGCGTATTCCCCGAGGGCCCCGAGCGGCAAAAATCAATCACTTTACGACGGTTTCCGCTTTCCGACGCTCGAATGAAGCCCAAAAGGCCTCCGAGAGCGCCCCAAGACAGCCCGAGAGGGCCCCAAAACCACCCAAGAGACGCCCAAGACGGCCCACGACGGCCCGAAGACAGGCCCAAGAGGGGGCCAAGACGGGGACCACGGACCGAAAATCCGAGCCTTCCGCCCCAAGAGGGCGCCAGGAGGCCCAAACAGGCCTCCAAGAGGCCCCAAGGGGCCGCCAAGAATCCCCCGAAGAGGCCCCAGGAGGCTCCCAAGGAGCCCCAACGAGGCCCCAACAGAGGTCCCAACAGCTTCCAAAGTGGCCCAAAGAGGCCTTGAGCCCGCCTCCGATCTTCCTCGCCGCGAGGGTGCCAACACGGCCCCAGACGGGCCCAGGACTGCCCAAGGCGCGCTCAATACAGCCCACGACGACTCCAAGATGGTCCCAGGAGGGTGGGCCCAGGACGGCCCAAGGACGCGCCCGGTCGGGGCCTCAAGACGGGCCAAGATGGCAAGAGAGCCCCAGTTTGCAAAAATCGTTGATTTTCACTTGTTTACTGTTACACCCTTTGCGTTTCCCGCCATTTCGGCGGTCGGATGCCCCAAGAGGCTCCAGAAAGTCCCAGGAGGGTCCGAGGAAACGCCCAGGAAGGCCCCAAGACGGGCCAAGACGGACCCAGCACAACCCAAGGCGCGCTGCGACGGCTCAAGACAGCTCCAAGACAGCCCCAAGAGGGTGCCAACACGGCCCCTGCTGGGCCCAGGACGGCCAAAGGAGGCGCACAGGAGGGGCCCAAGACGACTCCAAGGTGGCCCCCTCACGGTCCCAGACGGCTCGATCAAAGACAGCCCCACGGTGGTGCCAACAAGGACCCCGATGGGCCCAGGACGGCCTACGGACGCGCCCATGAGGGGCCCACGACGAACCAAGACGGCCCCATCACAGCAAACGGCGCCCTCAAGACGGGCCTAGACAGCTCGGCCCTTTGAGGGAGCCAACGCAGCCCCACACCCTTCGGGCGAACACTTGGGGGGGCTGGGAGCTTGCGACAAGTCTCCCGTATTCATTGTCCTGCCCAATTCTGTTCGCCTGGAGGCCTCCTCCAACCTTGTGGGCGAACAAGAGGAAACCCAGCGGGCCGCCAACCCTGGGGCCCGTGGGCCCCGCGCTGCTTGGGCAGAAGACGAATGCCGGGTCTGACAGGCCAGCTACCGCCTTCCTTTGCCCGATATGCTGTGCCATTATGTTCCCCCAGGGGCCTTGGCAAACTCTTCGGGCCAAGCAGACCGGACCCCTGGGACAGCAGCCATTTGATATGACCCAGGGACCTTTCCGCATTCTTCGGACGAGCACCTGGGGGGCCCAGGAGATTCGGACAAGTCTTCCCCATTCCTGGCCTTGTCCCGTTCTGTTCGCCCGAAGGCCTCCACAGACCCTCTGGGCGAACATAATGGGACATGGCGAACAAACCCTCCCGTTGGCGGTGATGCGACTGGATCGCACCATCAAGGCGTGCCTGGAGGTGATGGCCGACCCAACAGCGGTTCTTCTAAAGATTTTACAGAATTTCAAATTTTCTAGAAGCTCTCTTGGGCCCTCCCTGTAGATCCTTGCGAGCCTCCCCGGCGCTTTCGGTGGCTTTCCCCGATGGCTTCCCGAGCCCTTCCCCGGGCCTTCCTGAGACGCCTCAGATGGGCTTCGATTTCGACGCACATCCCCGAGAGACTTCGAAACTGCCCTCAATAGGAGGGGGGTGAACGAGCAGTGCGCTGGGCCAAGCTGCTGGAGCGTTGCAAGAGCTCGGACACGAAGGCGCGGTCTCGCTGCCGCCGCCCGAGCCGCCGCCGTGTTTGTAGATTTTCGGTGCAATCTGCGCCGTTCCTCCGAGAACCATTCCAGAAAGATGTCGTGGACGGAGTCCACGGGTCAGCCCAAGTCAGCTACAACGCTGGCATCAGCGCGTGCGAGAAGGGCGAGCAGTGGCAGCGAGCCCTGGTGCTGCTGGGCGAGATGCGGGGGGCGAAGCTGGAGCCCGTCGTCATCTTTATTACAATGCGGGGGCCCGCGCGTGCGGGAAAGGCGGGCGACGGGGAAAGCGCAGTCGGCGCCCCGGCGACCCCTGCGAGCCCCAGAGAGCACCCAGACGGCTCCCAGGCGGTTCTGGGACGCTCGAAAGTCACAAACACGATCCCCGAACGTGTTCGGAAACATCGTGCGCATATTGTAACTTGGGCGTGTACGACGACCTGCATGCACAGCTTCAATACATCCTTACACTCAGTCACGCGCGTGCCTAGTTTCATGCACGCGGGCCTGCAAGCATGCATACATCCCGCGAACACGCCCATAATCCTGCACATCCTTCCTGCGCGTTGTTCACCGGCCCAGGGCGCGCGAAGAGGCCCCCCGCATCGTCCCCGAACGAGTCAGCGGCCTCAAAGGGCACCTGCGATTCTAGCCGCTTCTAGGAGGGCCCTGGGACGCCCCACTGGGGCCCAAACGGCGCCAGAGAGCCTTGTGACGGATTACAAAAAAAAACAAGACGGCCCCAGTAGAGCTCCAAAAGGGCCCGAGGAGGTTCCCGAAAGATTCAGGCAGCCTCAAGAGAACTCCATGACAGCCCGAAGCCCCCCAGACGCCCCGTCGCGACCCAAAGGGCCCCAAAAGCATTTACCAGAAATGTGTTCTCCTGCGCGGGGGGCCTTCCTCATGCCGCTCCTTTCCGTGGTCTCGCCCTCTTCCTCCTCCTCTCCTCCTCCACCTCCTCCACCTGCCGTCCTCCATAGCCTGTTCGACACAATGTTTCTGTCTCCGAATCGAGCAGGTTGGCGGCCCCACCTGCCGCGCGGTCTTCGCTGCCCTTCAAGCGAGCAAATTAGCGGCCGCAGTGGCCGAACTGTTCTGTGCCACCCAAGACATCTGTTCAGCGATCTCGTGGACGAAGTCCACGGGTTCGCTCTAGTCTCTACTACATTGCAGGGCCCAGTGCGTGCCAGAAGGGCGCAGGCCCCATTAACTCATAATCGCCCCGGGCCGCCCCGGGAGGCCCCAAGACGCGCCAAGGAAACCCCAAGAGGCCCCCAAGACGCGGCTCCGGAGGGCCCCGGCACGCCCCAAGATGGGCCCAAGACGCTCAAGATTGGCCCAAGACGGCCCAAGAAGCCTCCCAGACGCCCCAAGAGGCTTCCCCAGAGGCCTCCCAAGAGGGCCCCGAGCAGTAGAAACCGTCGATTTCCATTGTGTTTTTCGATGTTTTCGGCCTCCTCGCCTTTTCGGCTTCCCGACGCTCCAAGACGGCCCAAGAGGTCCCCCAGACCGCTCCAAGACGGCCGAAGAGGACCCCAAGAGAGCCCCAAGACGGGCCAAGAGGGCCCCAAGACGGCCCCAAGGCGGCCCAGGACGGCCCCAGGACGGCCCAGGAGGCGCCCAAGACGGCCCAAGAGGCACCCAAGACGGCCCCAGGAGCGGCCCAAGACGGCCCAAGACAGCCCAAGAGGCGCCGAAGCCGGCTTCAGACGGCCCCAAGACGGCCCAAGAGGCACCCAAGACGGCCCGAGAGGGCCCTCAGGCCCCCCCGGGAGGCCCAAAAGAAGGCCGAAGAGGCTCCGAAACGGCCCCCCGAAGCCTTCAGGGGCTTCAGAATTCCTTCCAGGAGCGGGGGAGCGGACGAGAGGCGACAGGCATATCGCAGGCAAAAACGCCCCAAGAGATCCCCAAACGGCCCCCACGAAGCCCTACGTGGCCTCAGAATTGCTTCCAGGAGGGGGGGAGCGGACGAGAGGCGACCGGCATATCGAAGGCACAAAAGAACAATGTTGGACGCTCCGAGGGCCTTCGATGTTTCTCTGTTGGGGAGAGTCGTCGTAGGATCGACGATTGCCGACCGAGGGCATGGAGAATCCAGCGAAAGAGGAGAAGAAGGTGGAAGAGGAGGAGGAGGAGGAGGCGGAGGAGGAGGAGGAGGGGGAGGAAGCAGCAGGACCTCCGAGCAGCAGCAGCAGCTGAGGAACACAGGAGAGCAGGAGGTCCTGGAGGGTGTGGAGAGCGCCTTCAACTGGCCACGTCGAGCTGATGTCGTGGACGGAGTCCACAGGTCTGCCCTAGTCAGCTACAATGCTGGGATCAGCGCATGCGAGAAGGGCGAGCAGTGGCAGCGAGCCTTGGCGCTGCTGAGCGAGATGCGAGGGGCGAAGTTGGAGCCCGATTCCATCTCACTACAATGCAGCGACCTTTGTGTGCGAGAAGGGTCTATGTCTTGACCGTTGGTTCCGACTCCGAAACGGTTCAGAGGGGGGTCCAGTCGCCCCACAAGAGGCTCAGACGGCCTCGGGACGGCTCCAAGAGGCCCGAGGGGGCGCCGAGACGGCCTCAGAGCACCCTTGGGGGCCCCAAGGCAACCCCAGAGGCCCCAAGGCAGGCCAGGAGGCTCCCATGACATTCCAGGAGTGCCTCCACGAGAGCCCCAGGAGGCACACATCTCCCACTCCTTTCGGAAAACATATGTTAGTCCTATGTTCGATTTTTTCGTTTGCGCACTCTCCAAGACGGCTGTACGGGCCCCCGAGATCGCCCCAAGACGCCCCCCTGACGCATCCAGGAAGGTCCCAAGAACACCCATACACGGCCCCGGAACGGCTCCAGAGACGCCCGAGACGGCCCAAGAGGCACCCAAGACAACCACGCCCAAGAACGGCCCAAAGACGGTTCAGAAACGCGCTCAAGAGGGCGTCCAGACGCCTCAAGAGGACCCCAAGCGAGCTCCAGGATGGCCTTGATGCCTCCAAGGCAGGCCTAGAGGCTGGTGAGACAGCCCAGGGGCCCAGACGGGCCACCAGGAGAGCCCCGAGAGTCAATAATCGTTTCACTCCTGCCGCACAATATTTGATACATATGTTCGTTCTTTCCGTTTGCACAGTCTCCAAGACGGCTGTACAAGCCCCCAAGATCGCCCCAACACGCCCCCAGACGCATCCAGAACGGCCCGAGACGGGCCCAGGACGGCTCCGGAATGCGCCCGAGACGGCCCAAGCGGCAGCCAACCCCAGAGCGGCCAATAATTACCCAAATGGCCCCACGACAACCCCAAGATGGCCCGAGAGGCGCCCAAGACGGTCCATCGCCTCAAGAAGGCCCAAGAGGCACTCAAGACGGTCCAAGAGGGCCCCGAGAACCCCCCAGGAGGACGAAACAATTATTGAAATTGTCCCCAAGAGGCCTCGTCATCCTCGTCATCAGTATCATCAACATTAACTTCATCATCACCATCATTACCATCTCGTCGTCGTCCTCAGCATCGTCGTCGTCACCAGCGTCCGTAGCGGCATCATCAGCAGCAGCATCGTCATCGTCATCATCATCACCGCCGTCCTCGTCATCGGCATCATCATCAGGGGGCGGGGTAGAAAAAGGGAGAAGGAGGAGAAGACACTAGGGACTGCGCACCCTTCTCCGACACTAGGGAGGAACAGGAAGAGGAGGAGCATGAGGAGCTGCAGCAGAACAGCAAGAGGAGGGGGAGTAAGATGAGGAGCAGCACAGGAGCAGGATATTGAGGAGCAGAAGCAGCATGAGGATGAGGAGAAGTAGGAGCGGCAGTAGCAGCAGCTCAGCACCGTCATCTTCATCGTCGGCGCCGTCGTCGTCGTCGTCGTCGTCGTCGTCGTCGTCATCATCATCATCATCATCATCTCATCTTCATCCTCATCAGGGGGAGGCATCATCACCAGGGGGGGCATCAGCATCCTCATCCTCACCGTCCCCATCATCATCATCGTCCTCATCATCACCCTCATGCTCATCATCCTGATCATCGTCAGCATCATCTTCATCACCCGCATCATCCTCATCATCATCATCATCATCATCATCATCATCATCATCATCATCATCATCATCTTCATCTTCGTCATCGTCTTCAGCATTATCCTCATCATCCTCATCATCATCCTCACCCATCAGCATCATCATCCTCATCATCAGTTTTGTCATCATCCTCAGCGTTATCATCATCATCCTCGTCATCATCATCCTCATCGTCCTCATCATCATTCTCATCGTCCTCATACTCATATTCATTCTCATCGTCATCATCATCAGCAGCATCGTCCTCCTCATCCTTGTCCTCGTCATCAGCATGATGATCATCCTCATGCTCTTCCTCATCCTTGTCGTCATCTCATAGTCATCGTTACCGTCATTGTCGTCTCGTCTCTTCGTCATCGTGGTCGTAATAATCATCACCATCATCATCAGGGGGAGGCGGAATAGAGAGGGACGGGACGACGACGACGACGACGACGACGACGACGACGACGACGACGACGACGGCGGCAGCGGCGGCGGGGACGACGACGACGACGACGACGACGACGGCGATGACGGCTGCGGCGGCGACGACGCCGGCGGCGGCGACGAGGACGACGACGACGACGACGACGACGACGACGACGACGACGACGACGACGACGACGACGACGACGACGACGACGACGACGGCGGCGGCGGCGGCGACGACGACGACGACGACGACGACGACGACCTCCGCAGTGGGAGGTTGCAGCCCTCCTGCGCTCCCTGAACCACCACATCACCACACCACACCCACAGGGCGTCGCCGAAGGCTCGCTGCTAACTGCTCCTCCTCCTCCTCCTCTCCCATTCACTCCTCCTCTGCTCCCCTCTACTCCCCTGCTCCTCTCCCTTCCTCCCCTCTCCGCATGCCCTGTTGCTTCCTCCCCGCCCCCTTTCTTCCCTCCTTTGTTTTCGTTGTGCAGCGTTGCCAAGAAGAGCAGTGCAAACCAAGGACACAGAAACACCACAACGGTTGCGCGCACGGGCACGCCACGAACGCTACGTGACAACGGAGGGCCGCATGTCTAAGGACGAAACAGAGCCATGACATCAAAAACAAATATTGGCGTTAGTTTTTCGTCGCGCCGAGGACGCGATCTGTTTCGCCAGAAGGACGAAACAGAGCCATGAAATCAAACACAAAAATTGGCGTTAGTTTTTCGTCGCGCCGAGGACGCAATCTGTTCCGCCAGCGGGTGTTACCCGCCAGCGCACGCCAGATTGAGCGCGCACTTGATTTCATCGGAAGAGGCCAACCTCCCACACTACGGTTGCTAGGCATTTCGGTGGGGCACCTCTCCTCCGTCAAGTGTAGCAGTTTTACTTCATGCCTGGGACGGCGATGCATACGCCGATACCGATACCGATGCCGATGCTCCTCCTCCTCCTCCTCCTCAGCCTCATCCTCCTCCTCCTCCTCCTCCTCCGCCTCCTCCTCTTCCTCCTCCTCCTCCTCCTCCTTCTCCTTCGACGACGACGACGACGATGACGACGACACGACGGCGGCGGCGGCGCCAGCGACGCCGACTCTTGGCTGAGGCGGACCCCTAACCACCACACGCCCACAGGGGGTACCCCACACCACTCCCACAGGGGGGGGGGCACCACGCCACGCCCACGCCCACAGGGGGGGGGCCATCGCGGGGGAGGGGGGGGCGATGGCATTAGCGTTGGGGGCGGGGGGAAGGAAACGCTCGATCGTACAGGCCCTCCACTTCGCCCCAAGACGCGCCCAGACGTCCCCAAAGGGCCCGGTCCCGGAACGGCTCCGGAGGCGCCCGAGACGGCCCGGGACGCACCCAAGACAGCCCCAATAGCAGCCAATAGTGGCCGACAGGACGGCTCCGAGAGGCTCCAGGGGGCACCAAGACGGCCTCAGAGCACCCTTGGGAGCCCCAAGGCAGCCCCAGAGGTCCCAAAGGCAGGCCAGGAGGCTCCCAAGACGCCCAGGAGGGCCTCCAGGAGAGCCCCAAAAAGCCCAAATCGTCCCACTCCCGACAGGAAGCGCACATTTTCGCTATGTTTCGTTTTTTCGTCCTCGCAGCGTCCAATACGGCTATACAGGCCCTCCACCTCGCCCCAAGACGCGCCCAGAGGCCCCCAAAGGGCCCCACACGGCCCCGACACGGCACCAGAGGCGCCCGAGACGGCCAGGACGCACCCGTGACAGCCCCAAGAGCAGCCAAGAATGGCCAACGGGACGGCTCCGAGAGGCTCCAGGGGGCGCCAAGACGGCCTCAGAGCACCCTTGGGAGCCACACGACAGCCCCAGAAGCCCCCAAGGCAGGCCAGGAGGCCCCCAAGACGGCTCATGGGGGCCTCGAGGGTATCCCCAAGAGGCCCAAACCGTCAGTCCCGACGGGAAACGTACATGTTCAATATATATATATATATATATATATATATATATATATATATATATATATATATATATAAATATATATATAGATGTTGCTTTTTCGTCCTCGCAGCGTCCAATACGGCTGTACAGGCCCCGCAGCTCGCCCCAAGACGCGCCCAGACGCCCCCAAAGGGACCCACACGGCCCCGACACGGCACCAGAGTCGCCCGAGACGGCCAAGGACGCACTCAAGACAGCCCCAAGAGCAGCCAAGAATGGCCAACGGGACGGCTCCGAGAGGCTCCAGGGGGCGCCAAGACGGCCTCAGAGCACCCTTGGGAGCCCCACGACAGCCCCAGAGGCCCCCAAGGCAGGCCAGGAGGCCCCCAAGACGGCTCATGAGGGCCTCGAGGGTATCCCCAAGAGGCCCAAACCGTCAGTCCCGACGGGAAACGTGCATGTTCAATATATCTTGCTTTTTCGTCCTCGCAGCGTCCAGAAGGCTATACAGGCCCCGCAGCTCGCCCCAAGACGCGCCCAGACGCCCCCAGGAGCGCGCCCAAACGGCCACACACGTCCCGGGCCGGCTCCGGAGGCGCCCGAGACGGCCGAAGACGCACCCAAGACAGCCCCAAGAGCAGTTAATAATGGCCCAAGACGCCTCCACCGCCCCGTCTCCAAGACGGCTGTAGTGGCCCCCGCCGCCCCGTCTCCAAGCCTTTCCGTTTGGACAGTCTCCAAGACGGCCTTTAGGCCGTCCGGGATGGCTCCAGAGGCGCCCGAGACGGCTCAAGAAACAAAGACAGCCCCAAGAGCGCCCAATATTGGCCCAAGATGGCCCCAAGACTGTCCCAACATTGTCCGAGAGGCGCTCAAGACGGCCCCACATCGCCCCAAGACGGCCCAAGATACACTCAAGACTGCCCAAGAGGGCTCCGAGAGACCCACCCCCAGAAGACGAAAAGAGGCTCCCAAGCGGCCCCCGAGAAGCCTTGGATGCTTCTCTCTTGGGGAGCGTCGAACTTCCAGCGTCGTCTTGGGGGCTTCTTGGACCCTCTGGGAGCCATCTCTGCGCTATTTGGGGACGTCTTGGGGAGGTGCGCTCGAAAAGTCGATTCGTGTCCTCGCACTGGGGCCCTTCTTAGAGAGTTCCGTCTCGCCGCCCTCTTTTGCGGGCCTCCTAGGCCGCGCCCACTGGCTTCATTGTCACCACACTGCCAGATAAATTTACCATTCGGCCCCGGCGAAGAGCAGATAAACTTCTCACGGCTACCCTCCCCTCAGAAGCTATGATGAACACAGACTGTGGCGTCAGAAGCAGCTTCTGTCCACACCATGTCATGTCTACATGGGGTGTGCTTCCGCTGACACCGCCTCCACCACCGCGTTCCTGTCTTCAAGCCTGCTTGCCTGCATCCCTCGCCCACTTCCCCCTCCAGCGGCCGCCTCCATCCACGCCGTCCCCTCCAACCTCCCCTTGCCTGCGAGGCCCCAGAGACGCCCCACTTCCACGCCCACGCCAGGGCGGGCAGATTCCGCGGCCAGAAGGCCGCGGGTCGGCCCCGGTCAGCTACAATGCTGGCATCAGCGCGTGCGAGAAAGGCGAGCAGTGGCAGCGCGCCCTGGCGCTGCTGGGCGAGATGCGGGGGGCGAAGCTGGAGCCCACCGTCGTCAGCTACTGCGCTGGGATGAGTGCGTGCGCGAAGGGCGAGCAGTGGCAGCGGGCCCTGGCGCTGCTGAGCGAGATGCGGGGGGCGAAGCTCAAGCCCGAAGGCATCGATACTACAATACCGGGACCAGCGCGTGCGAGTTCAGGCAGAGTGGCTCGGGGCGGCTCCCCGCGCCCAGGGGGCGGGCCTCGACGGTCGCCGGCGCTCCTGGGATGGCCCTCGAGCGCCTGCCCAAGACGGCCCTTGGACGCTCAAGAGGGCGCCAGGAAGCCTTACGAAGAGCCCACCAAGGGCCAAGCTGCCCCCGAGACTTCCCTGAGGGCCCCAGGACCAGAAAGAGACCTCCAAGACGGCCGGAGAGCACCCCCATGACGGCCCGATTGGCCAAAAGTCGTGGATTCTTGTAATTTCTGAAAGGTTTGCCAGGTTCTCTCCAGTTCGGGCCTGGAGACGCTCCAGACGGCCCGGAGCAGCTTCAGATGGCTCCAGGGAGCTCCGGAATGATGTCAGTCTCGCCCGAGACGCCTCACCAGAGCTTCTTGGACGGCTCAAACGGCCCACAGACGGCCCAAGAGAGCCCCAAGACGGGCCCATAGAGCCCCGTGGGCTCCCCGATACAGCCCCAGGACGGTCCCATGCGGGCTCCCGCACGGCTTCGGCCCCATTGCAGCCGACCCCAAGAGCTCCATAACTCCATAACCGCCCCCTCGGGCCCAGACCGAGGCAGGCGGCCCCAAGAGAGCCCTAAGACAGGCCCGTAGAGCCTCAAGGGCCCCCCGAGCCAGCAGGCTCCCGACCGAGGCCCGACGGAGACCCCACGAGCGTTCCAGGACAGCCCCGCAGAGCCCCACACAAAGCCAATGCGGATGTCAAATGTGTCTGGCCGCGCCCGCGGTCCCCGATGGGGCCTCCCCGAGGCTACCCCGACCGAGTATAGCCGGCTACGGGTTCAGCCGACGGCTGAACTCGTACCCGCCTATACTCGGACCCGGAAACTCGGACCTGGCTGAACTCAGACCCAGCTGATCTCGGACCCGCTGAACTCAGACCCGGCTGGTCTCGGACCGGGCTGATCTCGGACCCGGCTGGTCTCGGACCCGGCTGATGTCGAAACCGGCTGATCTTGGACCCGGCTGAATTCGGACTGGGCTGATCTCGGACCAGGACGCTCTCGCTGCAGCGCGGGCCTCGGTCCGAGTTCATTTGGGTCCAAGTTCAGCTGGGTCCGAGATCAGCTGGGTCCGAGTTTAGCTGGGTCCGAGATCAGCTGGGTCCGAGTTCGGCTGGGTCCGAGTTTTCGGGTCCGGGATTCCAGGCCCGAGTACAGCTTGGGTCCGAGTTCAGCTGGGTCCGAGTTCAGCTGATGTCCAAGGATGTCAAATGTGTCCGGCCGCGCCCGCGGCCCCCCATGGGGCCTCGCCGAGTCTACACCGGCGGCTGTAGCGGCGCCCGACGGGGCCCAGCGGAGGCCCCTCGAGCGTTCCAGGACAGCCCCGCAGAGGCTCCGGACAACACCAGCAAGTATGGCAAATTTGTCTGGCCGCGCCCGCGGCCCCCGATGAGGCCCTGGCGAGGCTACACCGCCGGCGTCAGCGGCGCTCGACGGGGCCCAGCGGAGGCTCCTCGAGCGTTTCATGACAGCCCCGCAGAGCTTCTGGACAACCACGAACATGGATCCCCACGACGGCGCCGACGACGACAACGACGACGGCGACGACGACGATGCTTCTCATGTTCAACCAGACGTTCTCTCACGCGTTCGCTGGATAACTCGGCGTTCTGCCGTTCTTTTCCGTTTGGGTTTCCTCGCGACGAGTATTTTCATGTTGCAATTCGGAACGCGTTAAGACGAGCAAGGACTTCCAAAGATAAACTTGAGATTAGTTGTTTACTACATATTCGCACATCTTACAAGCTACTTCTTAGAGTACCTTCATCAGATGACAGTAATCTCTGTTGCACGATAGTATTGGCACCACCGGGCCTGTCCCAGACCCACTCAAGAATTTTCGGATCGTGGACCCTCTCCAGCGTTGGATCAGGAAGCCCTCAAACCATAACCCCTGTTATCGTATCCGTCGGGTGCCCCTTGGAGGGCCGTACGGAGTCCCTGCTTGGGCCTTATCGGGCCACACTGGGAGCATTTGTTCGGGCTTTTTTCTGAGGCTGGCGCCCAAAAACCGCAAGAGGCCTTTAAGACGCTCCAGACAGGCTCGCAGGAGGGCCCAGCATGCCCTCGACACAGCCCCAGGGACGCCCGAGCAGTTCAACTTTGACGAGCTGTTCACCCACGGTGTGCGAACCCCAAGCTCAGCACACCGCGGATCTAATCCAGGGGTTCACGCCAGTCATGTACAATGCTGGGATCAGTGCGTGCGCGAATGGCGAGCAGTGGCAGCGGGCCATGGCCCTGCTGAGCGAGATGTGGGAGGCGAAACTGGAGCCCAACGTCATCTTTCTTACAATGCCGGGAGCGCTGCGTGCGAGAAGGGTTTCTGCACCAATGGAGTCCCCGACCTCCTGGCAGCACCACCTATTCCTCCCGCAAGTGGACGTAGCCCACGGATCAGTCCTAGTCTCTCCTACAGTGAAGCGAACGCTGCATGCGAGAAGGGTTTCTGGATCAATGGAGTCCCCGACTGCCGCGAGCCGCTCGCGACGGCGCCCCAGACGCTCAAGAGGGCGCCCCGACGGCCCCAAGTCGGCTCCGAAACGCTCGAAAGACCGCCCCGACGGCCCCAAGATGGCTCCGACCCGCTCAAGAGGCCGCCCCGGCGGTCCCAGAGGCCGCCAAGGCAGGCCAGGAAGCTCCCAAGACGGCCCTGGAGGACTCCCCAGGAGAGCCCCAAGAGGCAAAGATCGCCGCATTCCCTTTCGGAAAACCTACATTTGGGGCATTTTTTGTGCTTCTCGTCTCCGACGCGCCCACGACGGCCAGACCGGCCCCCAAGATCGCCCCAAGATGCCCCCGTGAGGGCCCCAAGACGATCCAAGACGGCCCCAGGACGGTCCAAGAGGCGCCCAAGACGACTCAAGAGGCATCCAAGACAGCCCCAAGAGCCGCCCAAGACGGCCCAAGACAGCCCAAGACGGCCCCAAGACGGCCCAAGAGGAGCCCAAGACAGCCCAAGACGGCCCAAGACGGCCCCAAGACGATCCAAAAGGCACACAAGACGGCCCAAGAGGGCCCCAAGAGCCTAAGTGTCTTCACAATTGCCTCCAAGAGATGGGGGGCGAGAGGCGAGAGGCAGATCGCAGGCCCCAAACAGCCGGCCCCCAGATCGAGGAGGAGGGAGGACGACGACGAGGACGACGACCACGGGAGACGATGACGATGACGACGACGCTGACGACGACGACGACGACGACGACGACGATTCTTGCTCATTCCTCATCCATGCTTTCGCTCGCCGTGCCGTGGTTTGCAGATTCGCTACAATGTTTGGAGTCTTCGACTTGCTCGTGGTGGAGAATATCACAGCGATAGTTATTCTGGACCGTACAGGCGACATCGGCACTCCAGGTGGCAGTCCTGTCCAACCAGTCCTCCTCCTCCCCAGAAGCCACACCGCCGTGCCTGGGTTGCGGGCGGGGTCAGAACTCTCACCGACGTACCTGGGCTGTGGGCCAGAAGCGTCACCGCCGTGCCTGGGTTGTGGGCGCGAAGCTTCGCCGACGTGCCTGGGCTGTGGCTGAAATGAAAGACCTGACCGCCGCGCCTGGGTTGTGAGTCAAACGCCTCGCCGCCGTGGTGGGTAGTGTGTCACAGACTGCACCGCCGTGCCTGGGTCGCGGTTGAAGACCCCGCCGCTGCGCCTGGGTTATGGGTCACAAACCTCACCGCCTTGCTTGGGTTCTGGGCCACAAGCCTCCCCCAGATCTGGGCGCCGGGAGGAAGAAAAACACGACTGGAGGGTTTTCTCAATGTTCGGCTTCCGGGGGCCATCGGAGGGCCCCAGGACCTTAGCTGTAGGTCAACAGCGTCACCGTCGTGCCTGGGTTGCGGGGTGAGAAGCCTCTTCGTCTTCGTCGTTGGCGTTGGCTTCGTCGTTTTCGTCGTTGTCTTCGTCGTCGTCGTCGTCTTCGTCGTCGTTCCCGCCGACTCGGGAGGACAATTTTCCCACGAATGTCGGCCGTGCTGGAAATTGTTGGGCGGTTATTTTTCCCGGCTGAGAATGCCTCCTCGGCTACTACTGTGCACGCGGGAGGGATTTCGAGCATGTTCGTAAAAAAGGCTTGCAGTAAAAGTCGATGCACATCCAATCGACTCCTCGAGTCGTCTCCGTCGTCCTCGTCTTCGTCTCCGTCGTCTTCGTCGTCGTCTTCGTCGCCACCGTCGTCGTCGTCGTCTTCGTGGTCGTCTTCGCCGCCGCGGGGGTATTCGTTTCCCACTATTGTCGGCCGTGCTGGATACAGTTGGGCGGCTAATTCTCCCAGTTGAGAATACCTCCTGGGCTCTACTGCGCGCGGAAAGAATTTCGAGCATTTTCGTAAAACGGCTTGCAGTAGAAGTCGACGCACATCCTATCGACGTCCTCTTTGTCGTTGTGGTCGTCGCCGTCTTCGCCGCCGCTGCATGTTCGCACGTGTGCACCAGTTGCGGTGGCGGCGTGTAGGGAAGGAGGAGGGGGGGAGAAGGAGGAGGAGGAGGCCGACTGGCGCTGAACGTTGAGATGTTTGATCACTTCTCTTGGCCTCTCAGGCCTCCGCCGCCGAGAACGAATCGAATTACTCTCCACTCGCTTAAACTAGATATCAGATACCGACCTAGTTTAGCCGAGATCTATTTTTACCGAGTCTAATTTTACCGAGACGGGACCTTAATACCGAACGCAACGTACTGTATGTCCGGGGTCAGTCCGGGGTCAGTCCGGGGTCAGTCCGGGGTCAGTCCGGGGTCGGTCCGGGGTCGGTCCGGGGTCGGTCCGGGGTCGGTCTGGGGTTAGGGTCAGTCCCGGGTCAGTCCGGGGTCAGTCCGGGGTCAGTCCGGGGTCAGTCCATGGATCAGTCCGGGGTCAGTCCGGGGTCAGTAGTCCAGGGTCGGTCCGGGGTCAGTCCGGGGTCGGTCCGGGGTCGGTCCGGGGTCCGTCCGGGGTCCGTCCGGGGTCCGTCCGGGGTCCGTCCGGGGTCAGTCCGGGGTCAGTCCGGGGGTCCGTCCGGGTCAGTCGGGGTCAGTCCGGGGTCAGTCCGGGGTCAGTCCGGGTCAGGGGTCAGTCCGGGGTCAGTCCAGGTCAGTCCGGGGTCAGTCCCAGTCCGGGGGTCCAGTCCGGGGTCAGTCCGGGGTCAGTCCGGGGTCAGTCCGGGGTCAGTCCGGGTCAGTCCGGGGTCAGTCCGGGGTCAGTCCGGGGTCAGTCCGGGGTCAGTCCGGGGTCAGTCCGGGGTCAGTCCGGGGTCAGGGGTCAGTGGGGTCAGTCCGGGGTCAGTCCGGGGTCAGTCCGGGGTCAGTCCGGGGTCAGTCCAGTCCGGGGTCAGTCGGGGTCGGTCAGTCGGGGTCAGTCCGGGTCAGTCCGGGGTCCGGGGTCAGTCCGGGGTCAGTCCGGGGTCAGTCCGGGGTCAGTCCGGGGTCAGTCCAGGGGTCAGTCCGGGGTCAGTCCGGGTCAGTCCGGGGTCAGTCCGGGGTCAGGGTCCAGTCCGGGGTCAGTCCGGGGGTCAGTCCGGGGTCAGTCCGGGGTCAGTCCGGGGTCAGTCCGGGTCAGTCGGGGTCGGGGTCAGTCCGGGGTCAGTCCGGGGTCAGTCCGGGGTCAGTCCGGGGTCAGTCCGGGGTCAGTCGGGGTCAGTCCGGGGTCAGTCGGGGTCAGGGGTCAGTCCGGGGTCAGTCCCGGGGTCAGTCCGGGTCAGTCCGGGGTCAGTCCGGGGTCAGTCCGGGATCAGTCCGGGGTCAGCCCGGGGTCAGCCCTGGTCAGCCCGGGGTCAGCCCGGGGTCAGTCCGGGGTTAGTCCGGGGTCAGTCCGGGGTCAGTCCGGGGTCAGTCCGGGGTAAGTCCGGGGTAAGTCCGGGGGCAGTCCGGGGGCAGTCCGGGGGCAGTCCGGGATCAGTCTGGGGTCAGTCCGGGGTCAGTCCGGGGTCAGTCCGGGGTCAGTCCGGGGTCAGTCCGGGGTCAGTCCGGGGTCAGTCCGGGGTCAGTCCGGGGTCAGTCCGGGGTCAGTCCGGGGTCCGGGGTCAGTCCGGGGTCAGTCCGGGGTCAGTCCGGGGTCAGTCCGGGGTCAGTCCGGGGTCAGTCCGGGGTCAGTCCGGGGTCAGTCCGGGGTCAGTCCGCCGCGGGGACAGTCCGGGGTCAGTCGGGGGTCAGTCGGGGGTCAGTCCGGGGTCAGTCCGGGGTCAGTCCGGGGTCAGTCCGGGGACAGTCCGCCGCGGGGACAGTCCGGGGTCAGTCGGGGGTCAGTCTGGGGCCAGTGTGGGCTCCGTGCGGGGTCTGTCTGCGCCGGGGTCAATGCGGGGTCCGTCGGGGGTGCGTCGGGGGCCGGGGTGACCGTGGATAGTCCTGGAGCCCGGAGTGGCCCGCAGGATTGACCGTGCAGACCGACCCTTGAATGACCCCGTGTATATGGAGTTTGGTCGGATCGAATTCAGCGCAGCCGAGCCGACCGCCACATTGCGGGGTGCACGCGTATGTGGGAGCACCCGAATGAGTGTGTTGATGTATGGGACATGAATGCAAGTGGGCCGATCTAGTTTTCGGAATTGCAGAAGTCGGGGACCGAAACTTCCGATCTAGTTTAGCCGAGACCTAGTTTCACCGATTCTATTTTTAACGAGCGGAGTGTATAGCTGGGGTCCCAATCCGTCAATACGCCCTTGGAGCAATTAGTTACTTCCCCATTATTGCCCAGGGGTTTATCAACAGCGGCTCAGGACGGCCCACGACGACCGCCAGACGGCGCCCAGACCGCTCCAGAGACGCCTAAGCCAGCCCCAGACAACCCCAGACGGCCCCAGACGACCTCCACACGGCCCAAGAGGTACCCGAGACAGCCCAGGAGGGCCCCAAGAGGCTTCCAGGAGGCCGAAACGAAGTGCCGAGAGGCTCCTAAACGAGCCCCAGAGGCCCTACGATCACGGCCCAAGAAGCACCGGAGACAGCCCAAACAGCAGTCAAAGACGGCTCAAGACCGCCCGAAGACGGCCCCCAAACGGCTCCAAGCGCACCATGAGGCTCCTCAGCCCTGCTGGCGCTTGTTTGGCGCTCCCTGCCAGATTTGGTCCCAAATCCCTCGCCCTTCTTTTCGGTCTGGATCCCTCTCCGCGGCTTATTGGGGCCATGCTGTGTTTCTCTCTTGCAGCCCTCTCGGGGGCCTCTTGGGCCAGCATGGGGCCATTTTGGAAGCGTCTGACGCGATCTTTGGCCGTTTGGGGCCGACGTCTCAAATGATGTACGGGGCCATTTGGGACGCGTCTGACGCGATCTTGGGCCGTCTTC